TGCTTTCATGGAATCTGAAAGTCCATTCATTACTGTGTCTGGACACAATCTTGAACCAGATCACATTTTCACAATCACTCACCGGACACAAAGTAACTGGCAATTCGCCTTCACCTAGTACCCAGATTAAGAATGCATGGAATTTCCATCCACATATCCACGTGTTTTCATAGAGCGAATTTTGAACAACGGAATAACTTTTACCTTCCTACCTACACTCAAAATGAAGCAGGTGGTAATATTCTGCACTTCTCTGGGTATTTCTAAGCCTTTCTAAACTTTCTACCAGGTTGTCCTGATTTTCTTCAGTCTTCCAAGAAAAAACCCTAAAACAGCCCATAACTGCCTATTCCCAAATTCTTAATTATCATCGTTCATGATCATCTATCCATTTCATTCAATCTAAGCTTCGATACAACAGCAAACTGATAAAAATTATATGGATACTTATTCGAATTAATATCAAAGTATAATCAGAGTCTAAATTGTAAATTACTGGAAATCTTGTAGTGATTTCTTTTTTTTTTAAATTTAAATTGTACACTGCCTAAAATGAAAATATTGAAAGGCAGTCAGATTCAATAACAGCTAACAAAATGTCCTTTTAAAACAGGCAGAAAGTACGGTTTTTGACACGTGAAACATTCATTTTGAATTTGAATCAGAATGGTATATATTTTATGCAGTAGATTATATTAATATTATGATAAAATATTATAATTGCGTCATATTGTGAATCAAATATTAAATTAATTATTCGGTTTTGTCCGTCTAATCACAATTATATTTAAAATTTAAAATTTACAAATAAGATAATTAAATTATCATTTTATGTTCCACATCGAATAATCGATTTACATTTGGAACATTTTTACATGTTGATTATTCGATGTGGAACATAAAATGATAATTTAATTATCTTATTTGTAAATTTTAAATTTTAAATATAATTGTGATTAGACGGACAAAACAGAATAATTAATTTAATATTATGACTTCTCGTGGTATCATGCGTCAAATAGCACTGGAATTGCACAGAGAATAAAGAATGTTAAATAATGATACAGATCTTGTTTCTGGCAATTAAAGTCATGGAAATAATATAAGAAAATACAATGAAATGAACATATAATGTCCCTACATAACAGTATCACCAGTAAAAGAATGTGAAAAAATTACTAAATTATTATTTAAATCATTAAAAAATAAAAATATTAAAAAGTTAAATGGTTATGATTAAACTTAAATAATAAGATACTTCTACTTAGCACAGATGCTTCCATACTTGCTTTATTCCTTTGAAAATTATGTGTATTCCTTTAGCATCAGTCAATCAGTCTCTTAATTAACCGTAATTTAAACATCAACTCAATATTTCCTCTCAATAAAATTCAACTTTTGTCCCTGACATCAACTTCGTAATAACACCTTTCATTTGCGACTATAAAATTCCTCTAAACAGAGTCATATTTGACAGAATATTTTCATCCGAAATGCACCGAATGCATAACGTGCAGTGAAACTGTTCCATCCATAAGCGTGTAAAGCATAAATACTCCACAGCACCAAACCCAAACCGCTGTAAGATTCAAAACAACAAAAGTTGTAGCTCACTTGCAATAGTAGAGTCTCCCGTCCTGTGCGATATGAACAGTCCATCCAGATTTGAGATTTCGCTGGAGCTCCTCCAGTTTTGTTGGTGGTGGGTGCGAAACAGCCTGGTCCGCTGTAACTGCGGCAGGAACGACATCATGCCAGCTCGGCTGCAGCAACATGGGCACCCCAGTAACTCCTCATTCAGAGCCTAAACAAATGCACGTGTTTCTTATCAATTTATTAACACGCACACAAGTAAACACGCGTGGATCTCATACGCGCATTCGCTGTTCAGCTTTTCGCATATCCGCGCTTTATTTCAGCATTATTAGGAGTAAAATTATCCCTCAATTAACGAACGGTCTGGACGCAGAGACTAGAGGAAAAATCCTCTGCCCCCGTCGGGGACGAAATATCAACTGTAGGCAATTAAAAACCGACTTTGAATTTGCCTCAAATGGCACAAAGTCCATAACAAGTTTCATCAAAATCCATACAGCCATTCTTGAGTTATTACATGAGTATGGACGAAGTCATCCACCAACCAGACCGACGACGTCATCACGCATGCGCTGATAATTATGGGCAATGGCGTCGTCAACGTCGCACCTCACGACTTTGCGCATCTGTCACACTGGCATTACCAACTACAGACAATTAAAACGTGCGATTTTGGATTCGATTCAACTGGCATTACGTTTGTATCACATTTCATAGAACTCCGTTCTGCCATTCTCAAGTTATTATATGCGTACAGGCGCACAACACCGGAGAGGACCTTCAGCAAGGCAGATCATGACATCAAGGACGATGCCGTCATTACGCATCCGCAGAGGATAGTGCTTAATGCCGTCTTGATCGACCAACGTCACAAATTTAAGTATCTGATGTTGCAAAGTGCAGAAAATTGAAAAGCATGGCTGTGCACTGCACTCCATTATCTCTGTGCCAAATATAATAAAAATCCATTCAACCATTCTCAAGTATGAAGCTGTGATTTATAAGACCATTGATAGATGGTAGCAGGGACTCTTCGGCTTTAAAGACTTAATAGACAAGTGGATATCAACGGGCCCATAAGGTCATTTTTGCTTAAAACGAAGGGCAAAGAACACCTAAAACAATCTATCATCACAAAATTCTACAAGTGTAAAAACTGTTGTAGTAATTTGTACATATATCTTTTTCAGTCTTAAAAATCACTGTAATGTTTACTGATTTATATTTCATTAAAATATTATTGCCAACATACATTAACATGCCATCGGTATATACCTACAAGTCCATGTACAATTACCCGTATTAAAACCTCAACCATTTAAACAGACCTAAGTACAGATGGAAGGATAATAAATAAACTGATCTTACAGAAATTTCCAGTGTGTGCACTGAATTCATCTGGCCTGAATAGTGAGAAATTTCTGAATATAATTAACATTCTTGTTCTACAAATATAGGAAAGTAGTTGAGCAGCTGGGCAACTATAAACGTTGCTAAAGACATCCTGCACCATGGAGTTAGTTAATACATACTGTTTTTTGTGAGTATCCTTCAATTGAATGACTAATTGGCTAAATAACAAGTTATGCAAGCTTTCATGCATCAGTGACAACTTTCATTGTCAAGAATGGTTGTGCTTGTCAGGGCTGGAAACCACTGCTGATTGGTTTATCCCTAAAAGGATAAACAAGTCTGGCCATTACACAAGTGGTGCCCCAACATAAGGCCAGCATATGAATATGATTTGGTACTATTTGCAGAACAAAACATTTGAAAACCAAGAGGGCATGAGAAATTCAGTACGTCAAAACTCAATTAACAGGCATACTCATATGGTAGTCCAAACTGCAAACTCCATCATCTGTGCTTTTGACAAACAAAATATGGAAAATATAGAATATAGTTCAATTTTTGCACACAAGGAAATACAATATTTTTGACAACAGTAATATGTCAACTGAAAGTGGGATGGACAGGAGACAGGGCCAACTAACAGTAACTGTAACATTTCAGCCCTGAAGATGTTTGTACCCACCTAAAAGTTCATACAGAATCACATTTTTACTGCCACAAAAACCTTAAATCTCAATAATAAACTAGGTTCAAGTAGCTTATAGTCACTCAGATAGTCAAGAAATTCTTTGCTATGGAGCCCGAAGGTTCATTACTGTATTCACAACCTGCCATTGGTCTCTATCCTGAGCTCAATAAATCCTATCCACACTCGCACAATCTTCCTAAAACCATTTCAATATTATCCTATCTACTCCCAGGTCTTCTGAATAGTCTCATCTCTTTAGACTCTCCAACGAAAATGTTACATACATTTTTAATCTCCCCCACACATGCCATGCCACAATCCTAATAATATTTGGTAAAGAGGAGAAATTATGGAGCCCCTCATTATGCAATTTACTTCAGCCAACTGTTAATTTATCCCTCTTAGGTCCAAGTATTCTCCTCAGCACCCTGGGACATACCAAGCTGCACTCCAACACAACAGGTAAAATTATAGTTTTGCATACTTTAACATCTATGACACAGTCAAGAAGTACTTAAATTCCTGGAAATCTATAGATTATTCAGCAAGTCTGAAAACATACATGTTGGTGTCGTACTCACTACACAATTTACTGCTTTTGGCAAACCGGGAGCTTCATCAAGCTGTGTTCACAAGTGCATGTCAATGGACAATACCTAAATCTGTTCAATTTCATCCTCACACAGGGATGAAACTCTAGCAATCCACACCCACAATCCTAAGATATCTGTAATACAACCTAATAAAAGTGAATACCATGTGTACACAATTTGTTCATTATTCTATTACTTCAAATTATCAGAGAATATCCCATGTGTTAACTGAATGCCCAGCTTACTAATTTAGATTATCAATCCCCTAACCTTCCAATGGGTAGGTGTTTAAAATTACATTTTGTATCTTTATGCTCATACCTTCCCACTGAATGTTAAAAAATTTGGAATCTTCACACCTAACTCTTATATGTCCACCCTCACCAGCACACAAATTAATATCTTTAATTTCAAACAACTTTCATCACGGTTATCCACACAGCAAAGGGGTGGAGCGTTAAACTAGTATAGTGTGTATATCCACAGGTATCTCTACCCCTTTATATACCCTTAAGTAAAACATAAGCATAAACCATATGACTATCGCGCATCTTATAGAAGTGTTACATACAACACGATACAGAATTAAGGGTCAAATAATCTAAAAACATTCCTTACTTTTCATTTTACTCTGCAACAACTGGTAGTGATAGTAAACATGTTGTAACTTTCTCAAGTTAAATACTACGCATATAATCCGACTTCAGTACCACAAAATCACTGAATATTTCATTCTCGGCACACGTGATAACAAATTCATACACTGTAGATTATAAATGATAATACACAAAGTTAACATACAATAAGTAACACATTCAACTCGAAACCATCATCACACAACAGCTGTCATGACTGTCACTGACGGCAAAAATTATCCGTATCTTCTTTCCATTGATATCGCAGACACCGTATGAAACTTACAAACACAGACCACCTACTTGCAGGAGTGCTGCAGTGTAGCAAGATTAGGAACTACTACAGTCTCCACAGCCTGGATACGCACACACAATCATGTTGATGACAGATGTATTATAGAGCCATCTGCCGCCAATCTTTAGAAGGAAGAACAAGGAGAAAGAGACTCCAGAATTTGGATATTATGGCTAGGAGTGCAGATGGGGTGAAGGAGGCTCTCCTAAATTTTGCTTTGACAGAACTATCAAAATCGTCAACTAACCATGTCTATAATTTTATTAAATCTGAAATGGGATCATCTCGTCATCATATTTTAACCTCATTACTTGTAGCAAAGGACAGCGCAGAAAATAATCTGGAAGAGATTGCTCCGCGGTTGCACAAACCAGACCCAAATTACGAAACTCTTGTAAAATGCAGAGATGCTGACTTCAAGAAGTATTTCAGGATGAACAGAAGTACTATTCAAGTATGACAATCAATACTATTACTGGTTAATCGGTAGACATGTACCACCCACTATTTCTCGAACTGCTTTGCTACTCTTGTCTTTTACAATACTTTATATATGTGCTTTGTAGCCTATTCAAGGAGGATGCTGGCACCGGACCACCCGATATATTATATTTAATCGACCATTGATTCGGTTTTATTACTTTCCCGACCAATGTTGTATTAAGTGAGGTTAGGTTCGTGTAGTTTACCTTGGTTGTAATATTATTTTAGATCAGGTTACTGTAGTTTAGTTGAAGCAGGTTGAATGGATTGTTTATTTGTAGTTTATATTAGGACACCTGGCACCTGCCACGGTGGTCTAGCGGTTAGAACGCTGGCCTTGTAATCCTGGGGTCTCGGGTTCGAATTTATAACTTGTGTTGGGCAAGTCCGTGGTCTAGGCAACACGGAGTTTTTCTCCGTGGCATCCCAACAATTACTGCATTCACACACAGAAGAAGGCAATGGCAACCCACTTCTGGATCATCTGCCAAGAACGTATATGAACAGGTCCCAGTCCGAGAAAAGGATGGAAGGATCCTGTTCATATGGACCTGTCGTCAGACAGAACACTAAATAAATAAAACCAGCATTTGTTGTTAGTGTAAATAATATGTACATCTACCATTGTTACTTCCATGTTCCATATTCATGTATCATAGCTCTTGAGGTGTCCATGTTTGTCTGACTAGCTAGCACATTATTACAGCCTTGGTACTCAAAGGAGCTTACTTTAGTCCCAGAACTTGGCTGGACTCAAGAGTTAGTTATCTTTCATCTGACGCAAATGTTGATGTTAGATATATTTTTGTAAAATAAAAGAAGAAATTGAATAATGCTGACAGTGAATTTGGTCAAGCGTGTTCAGAATTCAGAGGCTGGAGAGCATGGTAAGATTTTTAAAACAAAATTTGATTATATCATTTATTTTAATTTGATCGTTGTGTATGCCAAATTGAATTGTACAAACCTACTTTGGATGAGAGGTCACCATCGTCCCCCATGTATATTGATGTACATAATCTGTTACTGGTGAAATTATTTAATTATGGCATTACTGACCTGATTATTTTATGGTTTGAAGATGTGCAACTACCTGCACATCTTATGAGACACATTTCAGGTGACAAGCAATTATAGTTGAGGTTCTCATGGCAATGAGTACAGAGATGGCTGCCTTCTGAGTTTTAGCACTGTGACGTCTGGTAGATGTTTACCAATGTTTCACTGCCTCCATCATCAGGGGAATGAACGCAGCCATCTAATTACCATATTGTAATTTATATCTTAATTGCGTCATGTTTGTGTTTTATTGATACAATATTTTTATTTTCCGTCTATACACAAACTTAAAATAATGTTGTTTAAAATTATTTTAAGTTTGTGTATAGACGGAAAATAAAAATATTGTACCATATTGTAATACATAACAGAAGGCCTTATAGTGATATAAGTTACTCATTTGTTTTTCTTTTCAGAGTTTAGTTTGTATTGTTGAGAAGAGATTAATAGTGTCTCCTGAAGCAGTCCACCCCTTAGTTCCTGTTGAAAAGAAAGTTCTTTTAACAGCTTGGCTCATGGGCAACAACCAGTCATACATGGCTGCAGCCAGATTATTTGAACTCAGCAAAGGGACGGTATACCGAATATTCCATCATATCTGTAGTGAACTGACCATCTTGGCTGGAAAGTATATCCAATGGCCAGACCCCGAGGAGTCTGATGAAATATCAGTCTCATTTGAAAATAAATATGGTTTCCCAGGTGTTATTGGTGTGATTGGTGCTTGCCATGTTGAGATTAGAGAGCCGGAGTCACAGGAAGAAGCTGCAAGATTTAAAAATGAACAAACGGGACAGTACACTGTCGTCTTGCAAGCAGTTTGTGATGACAAGCAGGCGTTCCGTGATGTGTGTGCAGGATTCCCTGGACAGACAAGCAAGTTGAGGGTCCTTGTTGGAAGTCCTCTGTATACTCGACTTTCAAGTCACACAGATCCTTTGATTGAGCCTCATAAACATATCCTTGGTAGCTCTGATTACCCACAGTTGTCAACACTACTAACTCCTTATAGCACGTGTGCTGCTGGACGCCCACTTACTAAGCAAGAACTGAGATTCAATAGCCTCCACCAGACTGCCAGATCTGTGGTAGATCAAGCTTTTGAAATGCTGAAAAGAAGGTTTCAGAGACTGAGGTTTATTGATGTATCTCGCACTGAGTTGGCAAGCAAAGTTGTTGTGGCAGCATGTGTGTTACATAATTTTGCTCTGATGCATGAAGATGAGTTCACAGAAGAGTGTTACAAGAATACAGACGTGAAAATCTGACTTAATATGTGCATATTTTAATTATACTCAGCCTGTGTTTTGAGAACAATGTTAGAACTTAATAGACTCTTAATCCTGTTGAGTTCTATTCACTGTAGCATGTCTGCCTTCCTTTTCTTCCACCCTCTTCACTTCGTGGTGCAGTATTTTGGCTCTTTCCAACTTCAAACATTCTTCTCCTTGGTTTCACCTTTCTCAAGGACGATATGTGTTCAGGGATCCTTGAGATATCATTCATCATAGATAAACAATCCTTTTCTCCACTTCCATTGCTACAAATACATCAGATTCTTCTTCATTTTTGTATTCTGTGTCCACAGATTGCAAATAGCTCAGTCTGCTGGATCCAATAGAACAGGTGTCTCCCTCGCATCCAGTAATTATCTTCACGTGTCTTAGGTTGAGAAATACAACAGTTTTCTAATGTCATAGGGAATGTGCACCCTAATCAGTATATTTATTTCTTTAAATAGAATATTTAATTTGTTCATTTATGTATATATTTCACAGATATGTTTACATATGTACAAAAATAGCTCATTTTATATAATTGTAAGTGTGATGTTGAATTAAAAACTTCTGATTTTGATAAGATTTCTGATGACAAATTGTGTCAGTTCATGCCTGAATTGCGAATGCTTCAAGATAATGATTTTAACAAAACAAGGCGGGTCTCTTGCAACACATTAAACATTGAATGCAAAAAGAAAAAACTGTCAATGTTTTGTTTCACCTGACAATAATAAACCTTTTGAACACAGAAAATACATTGCTCATGGTTTAATACTTTCATTTTTAAGGTTTCTTGCAGTCTGGTCTGCAAAGGTAGTCTTATTCACAACAGTCACTGTATTAATCACACAGTTTTAAATTAATAAGAATTTCACCAACTCTTCCACTCTTATTTTGCACCACTGTGACTACTTCAAGTTTTAATGACTGACTTTATGTTTCCTGATTGATAAATACATTATCAAATTAGTTGTTTGAAATAACCAAATGTGATGAATGAATGTAGTTAATGCATTATGGCTTACACAAGTTATAATTCATACAGATATTTTCATTAGTTTCACATGCTTTCACACAGCAGCTGATGCTACATTAAAGTACAAAGCTGTTTATATGTGCATGACATAAACTGGGTACTTTGATTAATGGGAAAACATTCAGCACTTTCATGTCTAGCGTATAGGGTGACATACATGCGTGTGCAGTACCATTTACAAAATACAAAGAGCTTTGTACATCACTTATCAAGTAAAGTATAAACTGATTGAATCCATATTTTGAAGGTTATTATGAAATTGGATATTTTTCTTCCTTTACTATGTACATACAAGAGCAGAATTTCAGTGTTTCATCAATAAAGAATATAAGTTTTGTTGCAGGATGGTAATTTTATTGTTGAACAGATTTATAGATCATCTTTGCCACCAATGTTTCTTTTATATGGAGATGATATGATTTTTCGTTTTACTTTTGAATATACAAAGCAGAAAGTAACATCAAACATAATATGACTTGCAAGATTAGAACATAACACTTTTCTTTTTAAGATTATGCAATATACTGAAATGAGTAAGGAATGGAAAGAATAATAATTCGATAAAAAGGGCAGTTCAATTTCTGATGTAACACAGTATAACAATATCCAGTCCAAAGAAACTTTCTTCCATGGACAGGCCTGTAAGCATAACTGCTCTGATTCCAAGGTCACCACTTGGAGGATTAGCCCAATGATTGGCACACACATCTCCAGTAGAAATGCAGGTAAATTAGTACATTCTGAGGAATGTACTTGAAATTTGTCATATAACAAAGAAGCAGCTACAGTTGTACACTATTGGCAGACATGATACTCTCGACTTTTGAATATCTTAACATGTTTCATTAATAACATTATATTAGGTAATTTACAATATGACAATGTAGTGATGATTCCAATATCGTATACTTTTACTTTGTATTAATTTTTACCCTTCTGAATAACATTATATTAGGTAATTTACAATGTGACAATGTGGTGATCATTCCAATATCCTATACTTTTACTTGGTATTTATTTTTACCCTTCCAAGCCAGTGCTCAAAGATACTTCCCCAGCTCTCAGCAAATATACCACTCCCAGGCCAGTGCATACCGACATCTGTTCCATGCACATACAGAATAGACTATAAGAGATGATAAAAAGATGCATATGTCATAATTAAAACTTATGTTTCCTGATATGAAAAGAACAGACTAGTCCTTTATAACTCACCATCATGTTCTCTGTAATGATGATTGGCCCTTGAGCACATAACCACATTCTTGTAGTTCTGCTTACCTGACTGGAGCCATGAGCCCCCCATACTTGTGAAATACCTCTTATTCTGTCTGCAGTTGTATTGTAATTAGAATAAAACTCACATAAAGATGAATGTAAGAAAATTACTCCCATGCTTAAACAACATGCAAGAAGGTGTACACCAAGAACCTAAAGCACCAACTTGGCACTACATGGAGGTCAGTGGTCACCTTCTCACTCTAGCTGCTTTACTGCAGAGGAAGTAAGAAACTCTAATACCCAATGCGGAGGTTGTCAGGTGAACCCCAGAGTTTGCTGGACATGATGGGGAAGAAAAATCCTTGCCTCTGCTGGGAATTGAACCCCAGCCACTATACACAATTGAGTGTAGTTTCAAAACTTGTTCAGTCAATTTAACAAAGTTGTGGGAAAATGCACTTCTTGAAGCAGAATTTAGTAAATTAACGTGAACTGCACTTGCATGGAAATTATGAAAATTACTATGCAAGTTTTCTTGCTAATTCTATATTTGCAGCTGTAACAACTATATCTTTTTAATATGTAGACCATCATTATAACAATGCCTATAAGAATATATTATTTACCTGTTATTCATTATGACAAACTTTGTCCAGAATATTAAAGAGAGGAAGATAAAAAGAAACGTTTTCAGAGGTGGCCCTCCTTTAGTAAAGTTTGGTGTTGGCTAACCTGGTCAGAGAATTGTTTGAGAAATATTATCGTGAATGTGCTGCCCTGAAAGTCCTTTTTAAACCTTGATGGAAAAGGGCAATCAAAGTAGTAATTGTTGGTATTCACACAATCACCAATACACTGTTCAAAGCAAAAAGGTGGAGCATGTGTATCCTATGCAACTTAAAAAACTAATATTATACATTTTATAATGATTCTTTCTGATTTGTATGTTCAAAAAATAAGTAATATGATTGTACAAAGTAAAAAATCTACATTTTCTATCAATAAATAACAAATACAAATTTTGAAAATAAATTATTGGATAGTAGTCATTACCCTGTATGTACAATGATCTTTCTCCAATAAAATAATTATAAACATGGAAATTAACTACTGCAGCATTATTTCTTAAAGTCTGAAATGTTAATATTCTGCTCTCACCTACACAGACTTAAAAAAAAAAATCACAATTACGTCGCAATAACCATCACAAATCGGGAGTTCGCGCATTTGATACATTGTACCTAATAAATGATAACACAGATGGCAATATCATCCCAAGTATGCATAAGCATAACAGAACTACCGAAACAGCCCTGTTAGCCAAGTTCGTTTATGCAACATCGTATAACAAGTACACGTGGAAGGCATCGACGGTATGGTAAAGAAGGAATTATGGTGTCACATTAGTCAAGCTGGGTGATACATTGTTTGCATAAACAACCTTCTACCAAAAATAGCATATGCTCCTGTGCAAAACACTTCTCCTCTGACACAGACAGCTCATCTACATATAGACCACAAACACTGCCTGTCCTTATGAGATTTCACATCGGGATTTATGGCTGAACCTATGTTACACTACTACCCATGTTAACTTTTTGATGGGAAGTGGACAGTAAAGAGGAGTTTCACTTTGCAGTCAGAAGTGAAGGTGATGAAGTTCCTATTTTGCTTTGGTTCAGAAACAACCGCCAAACATACTCACCACTCCTGTAAGAAAGTTTTCCTGATTTCACATCTGAAATGTGTCACTAGGCAAATCCCATCTAACATCTACGCTAACTAACTTCATTTTGTAACATCCTTTAGCACCTTTTACAGAACCCAAATGTTCACAGCTGTGTTTAAAGCCATCAGATCCTATCCTGAGCCAGATAAACAGCTAGTCAAACATTATCTTCTCTCTCTCTCTCTTATTTTTTTTTATCAACAAGGTTCATTACTGTGTTACAAAAGTCAGTCCACTTCACATGCTCATTAACATTAGGTTTCTCAAGCTGTCTTTTCCAGTCCAAAAGACTTGTATTTTTAGAAGTAAGTGTGTACCTTGCTTCTGGTATATTGTCCATAATGACACTGTATTTAAAGGATTTAGCCTGAATACTGCAAGAAGTAAGATTTAGGGATTTTATAAGATGAAAGCTTAAATTTATGAAGTACGCTGACCTATAACGTGTTTATAAAAAGTCAATAGCTGCAAATCAACCTTGCTCCAACAATTTATATTAATTTAGAACTTTGTGGATATTATGAAGTTTTTCAGTGGATTTGGTGGGCTAAGGCCTTCATAAATCACATTTACTGTGGCTTGGAAGGAAGTAAGGGCAGGGGAGTGAAGCATGGAAACAAAGAACAATGATGTCAAACATAGCATTGTGGAAAGTTGGCTTCCAGTGAATGCCAATTGTTTTGTTAAATGTATTTTCATGCAAAAGTATCTGTGAACACTTTATATTAATTTGTGAGCTTTGCTATACAAATCCAAGCTTTCTTCTCCATTAGAAGGTTAAAATACTACGCAAGGTGCAAACTTTCAACAGTGCAGTTCAACTACAAATGTTTCTGTCATTCGTGTTCTGAACAGCCTGAGCTCCTGCTGTTTATTAGCAGACCACCTTTACACTTACTTTTCACTCACAAAGAGCAGAACTTGATTCATCTGCCATTTATACTGAAAAACACCAGAAGTTCCCAGTACACCAATCAAGACACAAACCTTGCGACACAAACTAGAGAAACAATCAATGGGCTTCCAAATACGAGGTTTAACATTTTTCACTGACTGTTCTAATCATTTACAATAACTTTCAAATGGTTAATACATAACGAGTTACAGTGTATATGTCTGTTGTTACAGAATTTTCTAACAAGTTATTAATTAGACATAAAACAGCAAGGAAACTGTAACAATACTTCACAAATTCAAATTAATTTTCT